CAGAACTGTTACTTAGGGCCACAGAAACTGTTACTTAGGGCCACAGAAACGTTACTTAGGGCCACATAATTGTTACTTAGGGACAGACACAGAATTGTTACTGAGGGCCACAGAAACTGTTACTGAGGGGCCACAGAACTGTTACTTCTAGGGCCACAGAACTGTTACTTAGGGCCACAGAAACGTTACTTAGGGACACAGAATTGTTACTTAGGGACAGACACAGAATCGTTACTGAGGGACACAGAATCGTTACTTAGGGCCACAGAAACGTTACTTAGGGCCACAGAAACGTTACTTAGGGACACAGAATTGTTACTTAGGGACAGACACAGAATTGTTACTGAGGGACACAGATTTGTTACTGAGGGCCACAGAAACCGTTACTTAGGGCCACAGAAACGTTACTTAGGGACACAGAATTGTTACTCAGGGACAGACACAGAATTGTTACTGAGGGACACAGAATTGTTACTGAGGGACACAGAATTGTTACTGAGGGACACAGAATTGTTACTCAGGGACACAGAATTGTTACTGAGGGACACAGAATTGTTTACTGAGGGACACAGAATTGTTACTCAGCGACAGACACAGAATTGTTACTCAGGGGACAGACACAGAATTGTTACTGAGGGACACAGAATTGTGTTACTCAGCGACAGACACAGAATTGTTACTCAGGGACAGACACAGAATTGTTACTGAGGGACACAGAATTGTTACTGAGGGACACAGAATTGTTACTCAGGGACACAGACACAGAATTGATACTCAGGGACAGACACAGAATTGTTACTGAGGGACACAGAATTGTTACTGAGGGACGCCACAGAATTGTTACTGAGGGACACAGAATTGTTACTGAGGGACACAGAATTGTTACTCAGGGGACACAGAATTGTTACTCAGGGACAGACACAGAATTGTTACTCAGGGACACAGAATCGTTTAATTAAAGAGTATGTCAGACAACATGCAGAGGAGTGGCAGAGGAGGCAATGTTTTAGGGAGCGAGCAGACGTGGCAGCAGAGGAAGGGGTCGAGGCAGCACTAGTCGCAGCCAGAGGCCAGTGCTCCCGGTGTCATCCAGGGTCGTGTCTCCACCGACAACCCTGCCGTCATCGATTGGTTGGCTCGGTCGTCTTCCTCTTCCCAGGTCACCTCTGACACCTACAGCCAACGGTCGGTGGGTACGTCAGACACAACCGTTAGTTGGCATGGCCCGGGAGCAAGCCCACTGAAATCACGTGTCCTCTACCTGCCCCTGTCCTTTGGTGTTCCCTCACCAAGCGAAGTATCGCATGCTGTGGGCTCAGCCCCACTGTACAGTGAGTGAGGAAGAGCTAACAGAGGGCGGTCAGAAACGGGGGGAGACATCCGCCTCTTCAGCAGCCAGGCGAAGAAGTAGTGGCGAGGAGAGTGGCTCGGTAGCCGGTCTAGAGACAGGTCTGTCTCCTGACCCACACGCAGCCGAGGGGGCTAGTAGTGAGGCGGAGACCCTAATTGATGATGATGAGGCTGATCGCACTTGGCAGCCCTCGTCGTCATCAGGCTATTGCTTCCGCATCATCAGGAGAAGAGGGTGGCAGCTTGGCAGCGAGCAAAACAGTCGGTGGGTTGCCCAGGAGGCAGCAGGGTCGCAGCAGTGTCAGTGGAGGCAAACGGCCACGGAGTACAGCACCAGCTCCACTGCAGCCTACCACCACGGCCAGTAGTGGTGCCGGTGTGCACGGAGGAAGCAGCAGTCAGCCAGTGAGGAGTATCGATCGGGGGGGGCAAAGTTTCCTACTCTCGGCGGTGTGGCAATTTTTTGTCAAGCCGCCCGAGGAAGTAAACGTAGCCGTATGTCGACTATGTGGGCCAGAAAGTCAAGCGTGGCCAGGGGGCCCATGTTGGGACTACAGCGTTGCGGCAGCATATGCAGCGTCGCCATATTGGTGGCCTGGGAAAACCGTGATAAAGATACGGCGGTTCTGCCCGCCCCAGCCCCCCGCTCCATCACCCGCTCCGTTACTTGCTCCGTCACCCGACGTCAATCGCCCTCTCTATCAGCCAGTCAAGGCTCCAACACCTCTGCTGAGGGGAGTTGTCGCTCGTTGGCATCTTCCGCTCGTTCAGATGCTCCTTCTCCTGCTACTACTCCTCTTCACGGATTCCGTCAGCAGTCTTTCTTGGAATCCGTTTCCAAGAGACAACAGTTTGCGAGCACGCACCCGACGGTGCAAAAGCTGAACGTCCTCCTGTCCAAGTTGCTGGTGCTGCAGTCCCTCCCTTTCCAAGTGGTGGACTCAGCACCTTTCCGAGAAATGATGGCTTGTGCCGCGCCGCGGTGGAGAGTGCCAAGCCGTCATTTCTTCGCCAAAAAGGCAGTGCCAGCCCTGCATTCACATGTAGAAGAGATGGTGGGCCAGTCTTTGAGCATGTCGGTCTCTGCCAAAGTGCACGGCAGCGCCGACGTGTGGAGCTGTAACTACGGTCAGGGACAGTACATGTCATTTACGGCCCACTGGGTGAACGTGGTGCCCGGCACAGCCGCACACCAGCAACTTGGACAGGTCACGCCGCTTTTGCCTCCACGTTTGCACGTCCTTGGTCCGGCAAAGATGTCCGCCTCTACCACCTCTTCTCCCGCCGTGTTGTCCTCAGCCGCCACCACCCCCGTGCCAAGTCCCATTACCCGACCGGCATATCACATGTGCAGGGCGCAACGGTGTCACACGCTGTGCTGCACCTGGTATGCCTTGGCGAACGTAGTCACACACAGGGGAGGAACTTCTCTGAGTGTAATGAACAGAGAAATCGACAGATGGCTGTCTCCGCGCAAACTGAAAATCGGAACCATGTTGACCGACAACGGAAAAAGAACATGGTGTCTGCTCTGCGTCAAGGAAGGTTGTGCCATGCGCCATGCATGGCTCACGTGTTCAAATCTGGTTGTCAAGCGGTTCCTAAAATCCACCATCCCACTGCAAGACATCCTTAAAATGTCACGTAAAACTTTGCATGCATTTCAGCCATTCCTACACCGCAAAGCACACCCTCCTTGAGCTGCAGCGGCAGAACGGGAATTCCACAGCATCGCCTGATCTGCGACGTTGCAACAAGGTGGAATTCAACCCTACACATGTTAGACCGCCTTTACGAACAGCGAAAGGGCCATCACCGATTTCCTGATGTCCTGATGTTACAAGCGGATAAAGGTACTACCCCTGTGTAACTTCGATGTCAGCCATTGGCAGCTCATGCGTGACACCTGCTGCCGCTTGCTCAGGCAGGCCCTTTGAGGAGGCCACGCTATTCGTGAGTCGGCAGGACTATGGGATGAACGACGTCATTCCTCTGTTGCACGCACGTCCTGGAACAAATGCTGTTAACAATGGCTGGTCAGGGTGCGGTAGACCGTGGCGCACAGATCTCAACGCCACATGACCCCTGTGGGGGCAGGACAGGAAGAAGAGGAGGAGGTAGAGGAGGACATTTGTGCTCAGGGAATTATTGAGTGAAAATGGGTGGTTTTTTCCACTCAGCGGACAGGAGTGGAGGAGCAGGAGCATCTGGTAGAGGAGGAGGAGGAGGAGACAGAGGACCCAGACGCACCGTGGCAGTATGCTGTGGAGATGGAGGCAGGGGAGTCCCCTCGCATTCCTTGGCACAAATGGCCCATAGCATGCTCGGTTGCTTGCGTAGCGACAGCCGAATAATAAACCATCAGACAGAGGGATGACTTTTGGCTGTCCACCTTGTTGGACCCTCGCTATACCGTTCAAAAAATGGTGGCCTTTTTCACACCTGCTGCTGAGAGGGAGGCCAAAATAACGTACTATAAAAACCACCTATGTAGTCAGTTGGTCTCTGCCTTTCTGCGCCAACGTCCATCCTCAGACACTGTGGGCCCTGTGCGCTCGCGTTCCGCTGCCATGGCAGCAGGGGAGGGAGGGGTGGGGTGGTAGGTAGGAGCAGTGGCAGCTCCACCAGCAGCATTTGCTGCCTCAGTCTGCAGTCGATGATGAGTAGCTTTCTTCACCAGCGCAGTGAGGAAACTACTAACCAGCCGCAGCAGCAGCAGCAGCAGCAGCATCAGGTGGACCTGGAGCAGGACCTCAAACAACAGGCTTGGGCCTACTTGGACAGCACCCTGCCAACCGAGGTAGACAATCCCCTTGACTACTGGGCAACGAAACTTGACCTTTGGCCCCAACTAGCTGAATTTGCCCTTGAAAGGCTGTCATGCCCGGCCAGTAGCGTGGCATCGGAGCGCGTGTTTAGTGCGGCAGGAGGTATTGTAACTCCGCGGAGGACACGACTGTCCACCCAAAGTGTGGAGAGACTCACGTTTTTGTGAAAATGAATCAGGCGTGGATTAGTCTGGATTTTCAAACCACCAGTTCCTGACACAACTGACTAAATCCGCCATGAATCATGCCCCAAACATGTGCCACTTTCAGGTCTCCTCACACTGCTGGTGTGTTCCATTTTTTGTCATAGGGTGCTGGCAGATTACGGGCCTCCCATAGCTGCTGCCAGGCCCCTAATCTGCCATGGGCCCCTATATACCGCCTCCTCATGCTGCTGCCAGGTCCAGAGTCTCTCATGGGTCCCTGTACGGCCTCCCATTGCTGCTGTCTCCATCGCCACACTCTGCCATGTGCCACTTTCAGGTCTCCTCACACACACTGCTGGTGTGTTTTTTTTTTGTCATAGGGTGCTGGCAGATTACGGGCCTCCCATATCAGCTGCTGCCAGGCCCCTAATCTGCCATGGGCCCCTGTATACCCGCCTCCTCATGCTGCTGCCAGGTCCAGAGTCTCTCTCATGGTCCCTGTACGGCCTCCCTCCATTGCTGCTGTCTCCATCGCCACACTCTGCCATGTGCCACTTTCAGGTCTCCTCACACTGCTGGGTGTTCCATTTTTTGTCATAGGGTGCTGGCAGATTACGGGCCTCCCATAGCTGCTGCCAGGCCCCTAATCTGCCATGGGCCCCTGTACCCGCCTCCCTCATGCTGCTGCCAGGTCCAGAGTCTCTCATGGGTCCCTGTACGGCCTCCCATTGCTGCTGTCTCCATCGCCACACTCTGCCATGTGCCACTTTCAGGTCTCCCTCACACACTGCTGGGTGTGTTCCATTTTTTGTCATAGGGTGCTGGCAGATTACGGGCCTCCCATAGCTGCTGCTGCCAGGCCCCTAATCTGCCATGGGCCCCTGTACCTCCTCATGCTGCTGCCAGGTCCACAGTGTCTCATCGCCATGCCATGTGCCACTTTCAGGTCTCCTCACACACACTGCTGGTGTGTGTTCCATTTTTTGTCATAGGGTGCTGGCAGATTACGGGCCTCCCATAGCTGCTGCCAGGCCCCTAATCTGCCATGGGCCCCTGTACCGCGCCTCCTCATGCTGCTGCCAGGTCCACAGTGTCTCATGCCATGTGCCACTTTCAGGTCTCCTCCTCACACTGCTGGTGTGTTCCATTTTTTGTCATAGGGTGCTGGCAGATTACGGGCCTCCCATAGCTGCTGCCAGGCCCCTAATCTGCCATGGGCCCCTATACTCATGCATGCTGCCAGGTCCCAGCCTCCTCATGCTGCTGCCAGGTCTCCACAGTGTCTCATGCCATGTGTGCCACTTTCAGGTCTCCTCACACTGCTGGTGTGTTCCATTTTTTGTCATAGGGTGCTGGCAGATTACGGGCCTCCCCAGCTAGCTGCTGCCAGGCCCCTAATCTGCCATGGGCCCCTGTACCGCCTCCTCATGCTGCTGCCTACCAGGTCCACAGGGTCCTCAGCCACACTCTGCCATGTGCCACTTTCAGGTCTCCTCACACTGCTGGTGTGTTCCATTTTTTTCCATAGGGTGCTGGCAGATTACGGGCCTCCCATAGCTGCTGCCAGGCCCCTAATCTGCCATGGGCCCCTGTACCACCGCCTCCTCATGCTGCTGCCAGGTCCACAGTGTCTCATGCCATGTGCCACTTTCAGGTCTCCTCACACTGCTGGTGTGTTCCATTTTTTTTCATAGGGTGCTGGCAGATTACGGGCCTCCCATAGCTGCTGCCAGGCCCCTAATCTGCCATGGGCCCCTGTACCGCCTCCTCATGCTGCTGCCAGGTCCACAGTGTCTCATGCCATGTGCCCTGTAGCGGCCTTCAGGTCTCCTCACACTGCTGGTGTGTGTGTTCCATTTTTTGTCATAGGGTGCTGGCAGATTACGGGCCTCCTCCCATAGCTGCTGCCAGGCCCCTAATCTGCCATGGGCCCCTGTACCCGCCCTCCCCATGCAGAGGCTGCTCCCAGGTCCACATGTCTCATGCCATGTGCCACTTTCAGGTCTCCTCACACTGCTGGTGTGTTCCATTTTTTGTCATAGGGTGCTGGCAGATTACGGGCCTCCCATAGCTGCTGCCAGGCCCCTAATCTGCCATGGGCCCCTGTACCGCCTCCTCATGCTGCTGCTGCCAGGTCCAGAGTCTCTCATGGGTCCCTGTACGGCCTCCCATTGCTGCTGTCTCCATCGCCACACTCTGCCATGTGCCACTTTCAGGTCTCCTCACACACTGCTGGTGTGTTCCATTTTTTGTCATAGGGTGCTGGCAGATTACGGGCCTCCCATTGCTGCTGCCAGGCCCCTAATCTGCCATGGGCCCCAGTACCGCCTCCTCATGCTGCTGCCAGGGTCCACAGTCTCTCATGGGTCCCTGTACGGCCTCCCATTGCTGCTGTCTCCATCGCCACACTCTGCCATGTGCCACTTTCAGGTCTCCTCACACTGCTGGTGTGTTCCATTTTTTTGTCATAGGGTGCTGGCAGATTACGGGCCTCCCATAGCTGCTGCCAGGCCCCTAATCTGCCATGGGCCCCTGTACCCGCCTCCCTCATGCTGCTGCCAGGTCCAGAGTCTCTCATGGGTCCCTGTACGGCCTCCCATTGCTGCTGTCTCCATCGCCACACTCTGCCATGTGCCACTTTCAGGTCTCCTCACACACTGCTGGTGTGTTCCATTTTTTGTCATAGGGTGCTGGCAGATTACGGGCCTCCCATTACGGCTGCTGCCAGGCCCGTAATCTGCCATGGGCCCCCGTACCGACTCCTCATGCTGCTGCCAGGCCCGTAATCTGTCATGGGCCCCTGTTGTCGCTTGTTGGCATATTCCGCTCGTTCAGATGCTCCTTCTCCTGCTACTCCTCTTCACGGATTCCGTCAGCAGTCTTTCTTGGAATCCGTTTCAAGAGACAACAGTTTGCGAGCACGCACCCGACGGTGCAGAAGCTGAACGTCCTCCTGTCCAAGTTGCTGCTGCCAGGCTCGTAATCTGTCATGCGCCCCTGTACCGCCTCCTCATGCTGCTGCCAGGTCCAGAGTGTGTCATGGGCCCCCGTACCGACTCCTCATGCTGCTGCCCAGGCCCGTAATCTAATCATGGGCCCCATGGGCCCCTGTACCCGCCTCCTCATGCTGCTGCCAGGTCCAGAGTGTGTCATGGGTCCCTGTACGGCCTCCCATTGCTGCTGTCTCCATCGCCACACTCTGCCATGTGCCACTTTCAGGTCTCCTCACACTGCTGGTGGTTTCCATTTTTGTCATAGGGTGCTGTATGGCCTCCCATTGCTGCTGCCTCCACCGCCACACTGTGGCTCCACACTCTGGTTTTGGCCCTGTGACTGCCCAAATGAGTGAAGTGTGCGGTGATTCTAAGATCGACGGCACTCATCTGCATGTCATACTGACTGTCAGTATTATTTCTCTTCCCCAGCCCAAGGGCATTTAAATTAAAGGTACAGTGTTCTGCACTAATATAAAGGCTCTCTGAAGCCTAGAAACACCCTTTTATAAGTTAAATTTGCAGCGAATATATTCGACTCGAATCAAAATTTTTTCACGAATTCGCCGAATCAGTCGAATTGAATTTTTGAATAATTCGCTCATCTCTATTTACTATGCTTGAGTTTATAAATGAACTAAGTGAATGATCGGTACCAAGCACTCATTATGTTCATCCAGGAAAGAGAGGGGCTGATAAAATTTTACATATTTACCGGACCCTTTCATCTTGAAGGATCCTATTGTGTGCTTGCAGCTGCTGGTAGGAAGGAGGGGACTAGTTTCTAGCAATGACGGTGATCAGCAACTTATAGCGGGACTGCGGCAGGCATTCTGACACTGGCGGGAACTGACTTGGTGTCACTGACATCCCCAGTGACACCAATACAGTGATCAGTGCTAAAAAAAAGCATTTGCACTGTACTAATGGCACTGGGCAGGAAGGGGTTAACATGAGGGGCGATCAAAGGGTTAACTGTGTGCTGTGTGTTTTTACTGGGGGGGCGGTGTGTTGATGCTTCACTGTAAGCAGACTGCTCTGGATGACTGTGCTGTGCACAGCCATCCAGAACAGTGTGCCTGAGCTGACAGGGAGGAGGACTGTAAACAGCAGTCCTCATCAGAGATGCTCGGTAATCACAGAGTGCCTGCGGGTAATCACCGGCCGGAACATAGTGATTGACAGCTGTGACCGCAAATGGCATCGCGGGTAGGGATCGTGTGCGGCTCGCGCGCACCCCCTACCCGGAAATACAAAATCACATACAGTGATTTCCATATATATATATATATATATATATATATATATATATATATATATATATGTGATTTTGCACACCCCTGCCGCCCTGTAGCAGTATATCTACTATAGGGTGGTTGGGATGTGTTTAAAGCTTTATGCATTGAGCTTATTGTTTGTGTTAAAAATGAAAATGACTATAATTGTCCATGAAATCTCTTTTTTTTCATTCCATACAACGTTTTACCCTAACTATGATAACAATCTTTTGTAGACTTCAAATCCTTGCTGCTGCACATACAGGATATTATATCCTGCAATTCATAGCTTTTCACCGCACAGTGGATATTGGCACCACATATTCTGCTTCATAATCATACAAATTATACTCATAGTAATGTGCAATTAGTGTGCAGGGAAAGTTAGTTAATTACCAATGTGGTTTCCTGATTCTTAAGTAAACATGTGAATTCTTTATTTTTAGACAGAAATGTTTTTAAGGTCAGAGAAAAGTTACAGAGGATGTAGCAGGGTACAATCTTTTACAAATGTTTTCAATGGTGTATACAATTTCAGTTTTTTTTTTAGTTTATACCATACAATGCACATATGTATGCAGTACATCCATTTTTTATTTCAGTCCACCACATTTAAATGAAAGGGTATTTCAGGGAATTTTAATTTAAAATGTTTTGGGTAGAGTGGGAAAGGGTTAAACCTTTTGTCAAGTTTTTATTGCTGTCTGTGTCCTCAATGGGGAGATTCACTCCTCTGTTTGTACTGGTGACCAATTTCACTGACCCCCGGTTCACATCTAAGCGGCATCCGTGCGGGCCGCGTTTTGCACGGGCACGAGAGCCCATTCATTTTAATGGAATCCCGTGCCTGTGACATGCAGAGAAGTCCCTGCACTTCTTTGGAAAACGCAGCCCGCATGGGAACCTCGGTTCCCAGTATGGTTGCGTTTTCCAATGCGGGCGGCATACCATTAGAACTAATGGCACCCGCCCGCGGGTCCGCATTTCTCATGGCGTCACCCGCACAGATGTGAACCTAGAGTCAGGTAGAAAGTGAGATCCAAAAATCATCACCATAATACCAGGTGAGAGGAAATCTCCCTATGTGAATGTCCTGGAGAGTTTATAGATTGGCAACACCTATCCTCACATCGATCAGTGGTTTTAAATGAATAATAACTACTACAGTAGGGAACAGACACAAAAAGCATCTTTCCAAATAACGGTTCTGTTTATTTGGCACATTTTAAGTGTTTTTTATAACCATGCTTACGTAGGTATCACATTAATATTACAAGTTTACGTTTAACCCTTTGAGGACCGTAAGGTTTTGGAACGCCAAAAGAATCAATTTTTTTGTTTTTAAAGTTCGTACACTTCAGTTGCTGTAACTAAGCCATTTCATGAAATAATTGGCAAAAAGCTAGATCCATTTGTTGTTTGTTGATAAGAACTAATAATATTTTGACTCAAATCAAAAAAAAAAAGAAGAGTTTTAAGTTCTTAACCAGATGATACACGCAATTACAAACATGGGACAAATACGTCCCTTGGTCCTCAAAGGGTTAAGGTAACAAGGAGCAATACTCAGGCAGGCTAGTTTCCCATCAAAGCCTAAAAGAATGTGAATATGTAATCAAAACACTATCAGTGCCGTGTGCGATGCATACACAAATCATACAAAACAGAATACAGTTCTATCTAGAATTTTCATAGTGGTCATCCGGTTCATGTGATAACTGTATAAAAGTGATGTTCTTCTTGCTGTGGGAGATTTCCTCTAATTTTCTATAGCATCTCTGGAACAGGAAGTGAAGGAAATTTTCCCCAAAGGTGCACAAACAGAAAAAAAAAACAATCTGATAGGGGTGTATTGCTTCCTTACTCTGCCCAAAACAAAAATTAAATTTTGACTTTAATATAGACTTACTATTTAATATAGTGTTACTAAACCCCGGACCCTGCATCCACTATATCCGGTCTCCTACAGTACAGACAACATGGAAGTGCAATTATTTTAGTAAATATAAACTGCTAAATACTAGGGATGCACTGAAATTTCAGTGGCTGAAATGTTTCGGCCAAAAAAAAAGCTTTCAACCAATGGCTGAAATGAAAAAAAAGCACCGATACAGGTGCCGAAAAAAACCCCGCCCCTCGCCGCTGCCTGCCCGCCACCCCGCCGCCACTAGCTGCCGCTCGGTAGTTCTTAGCCTTATCTGAGAAACCATCAAACAATCCTGGTGCTGGGCATAGAGATGAGTAAAGGAAAGATGACCTCCACTCATCTCTATGCCCTTGGAGGACTGGAACGATGTCACTTCTGGTTCCGGCCATTTTTTTTATTTTATTTTTTTTTAAAGCACTAGATCATCGCTTTTTTTTTATCCAATGCTTTACCTGTCACTAAATATTTCTATCACAAGGGATGCATGCATTTCTTGCAATAAGAATAAAAGTGATTACATTTATTTTTAAAGGGACAGTGCAAAAAAAAAAATTAAATACATTTTAAAAAAGTTTAAAGTGCCCCGTCCCCCCATGCTCGCACATAGTGGTGAATGCATATGTGGGCCATGCCCACATATGTAAATGGTTTTCAAACCACACACGTCAGGTATCGCCACGAACGTCAGAGCAATAATTCTCACACTAGACCTCCTCTGTAACTTTACACTGCTAACCTGTAGACATTTTTAAAGCATCACCCATGGAGATTTTTAAGTACTGCAGTTTCACGCCATTCCACGAGCGTGCACAATTTTAAAGCGTGACATGTTTGGTATCTATTTACTCGCCCGTAACATCCTCTTTCATATTTTACAGAAAAATTGGGGTATATATTGTTTTTTTTTGTTTTTTTAATCAAAGTGTATTTTTTTCTAAAAAGTTATATATTCATTTTTAAAAACTGTGCATTTCAGTTTTGGTTGTCAGCCAAGTGCATTTTGAATTTTTGGTTTTGGTTTCGGCACCAGAATGTAAATTGTGGTGCACCACTACTAAATACCTTTTCTCATCAGCAGTTTAGTGGCTTCTATCAGTGTCCAGCACATGTTAAAGCCTGTGCATTTTGAATTTTTGGTTTCGGTTTCGGCACCAGAATGTAAATTGTGGTGCACCACTACTAAATACCTTTTTTCTCATCAGCAGTTTAGTGGCTTCTATCAGTGTCCAGCACATGTTAAAGCCTGTAGGAGGATTTTCTTTCTGCTCTAGGAGGATGCAAAACCCCTGACCTCTGCCTGACCAGTGCTTTTTGGCCCTGTGCTGATCACATGCACTCTCCCAAGAAAACAAATAACCTCTCTATCAATACATACCAAACTGAGCATGTTCAAATGCATACGGTTCAATCTGTCTTAACAGGAGATAAGAGGTGGTCGCTTGAAAAAGGGGAGGAACAGAGAAGAAAGGATCAAACAGCATTTTTACACAATGCAGAGGATTAGGTTCCACAGTAAGTATAACAAGCATGCTTTATTGCATATACAGGCTGATTTTACTTTTGTGGGTTTAGTAACACTTTAAAGCAGAAATGCAGGAAAAAATATTTTGGGCCGTGCAGTGAGGCTGTGCTGGCACTGCTCGGGTCAAATGCTTGTTTAGTTCTAGGGAAGAGGACATTGAAGATATACTCACCTGATCCGGCGAATCTCCCCATGCAAGACCGGTCCTATTGGCTCCTGCCCCCCTCCCGAGGTCCAGCGGTCTTGTAAATGGGCTGTACCTGATGTCAGCACACTCAATGTACACTCCACAGACAGGAATAGTCCATCACTGGATCGTGGGGGTGCATGGTTTTCCGTAGCAGCAGTGGGTCAGGTGAGTATGAGCTTAGTCCTCACCCCTAGAAAAAACAAGCAGCCAAAAAAAAAAATCTAACTGGAGTTCTGCTTTAAGAATACTGTAGATAGAAACTATTTATTCTGTTATGTTTACTGTATACTTTCTTTCTTTTTCAATGGCATCTGAAAGTCTGTAGGATATATTAAATAGGAAGTAAACATGTTTTTTCTTGAAGTTGATGTGTTAAAAGCAGAATAACTGGCCATCAGAGTTTGTTGTGTATGGGGTTGGGTAACTGTAAACCAGTCAGGGTGCCCATGCTGACCAGTGCCATAGACAAAAAGAATCTACAACGGGCACGTGAGCAACAGAACTGGACCACTGAGTAAAGGAAAAAGGTGGCTTGATCTGATGAATCACATTTTCTATTACATCATATGGATGGATGGCTGCATTTGCTTCGCTTAACTGGGGAAGAGATGCAGTATGAGACAAAGGCAAGCTAATAGAGGCAATGTGATGCTTTGGGTAATGTTCTGCTTGGAATACTTGGGTCCTGCCATTCATGTGGGTGTTACTTTGACATGTACCACCTACCTATACATTGTTGCTGACCAAGTAAACCCCTTCATAGAAACCACATCCACTGATGGCAGTGACATCTTTCAGAAGGATAATGCACTACCACACTGTAAAAATGGTTCAGGAATGGTTTTGAGAAACACACCAACAAGTTTGAGCTGTTTACTTGGCCTCCAAATTCTCCATATCTTAATCCAATAGATCATCTGTGGGATGTGCTGCAAAAACAAATCTGATCCATGGAGGCCATATCTCACAACTTACAGAACTTAAAGGATCTGCTACTGACATCTTGGTGCCAGATACCATAGCATGGCTTCAGAGATCTAGTGGAGTCCATGACCTGGTGGGCCAGAGCTGTTTTGGCAGCAAAAGACCTGTTCAATATTAGTTGGGTGGTCATAAAGTTATGGCTGACAGGTGTATATATACATATCAGTTGTTTAATTCCTACTTTATCCACATTTCGTGTGTTCACATAAAGTTAATGCATGTTAGGTATACAAATATATATGACTATTTACAGCTAAGCTCAAGGCAAATGACTATAGGAGCAGTTTTACCTGCCAAAGGATTGGTATTTCTGTCAATGCAGTCCTGAAGTTTAAAAAGCCCTGATGGACTACACATTCAGCTTGATGACTCGACTTTTTCTACTGCCGTTAAAGTAAAACTAATCACACACTGTCTAATTTACAGCATCCCTTCTATTTCTGTATGTGGATGATGGCACTGTAATAATTTTAATTTGAAAAAAAAACCTTCTAAGTACCTTTTTCCTAATCAAAATACAGCTGCCACATGACCCCAGCTCTTTGGGTGGGGGAAGCCTCCATCAATCAATATGTAATATCCCCCCCCTTTTGTTAGCTGGTTAGTGGGCATGGAGGAGGGAAGGCGTGGGATGTCATTTACCAGTGAGTGTATGCTCACATGGGTGACTCTATAGTCACATGGGCTGTTCAGATGTGGTAGGGGGAAAATGCTCAGCATAGAAACTTACTGAAAACTGAGCATGCACAGTATCTGCCAGCACAGGCACAGCTCTGCAAAATCTCCAACTGCATTAGGGATATGATCAGAAGGGAGAGATGGAGAACAGCAGGATCAACCAGGCTTCTTGGAGAATACAGAAATGTAATCTCATAATGAATGAGTGAGTGTGAACAGCATGTAATACAGCATTTATTGATAGATTTGTATGATGCGGGTTTAATGACACTTTAATCAACATAGCTATATCATCTCCCAGCCATCAGAATGTGATTGGACAGTGAAGGAATGGCAGCAGACTGATGAAACAATCTCTGCTTTCTCCTGTCAGCATGTGCCGTGTCAGCACATGTGAATGCAATACATCTGAGTGGCCCCAAGTGCTGCTCCCGGTCAAGAAGCTAACATAAAGTCAAATTAAGGCACTAACTTTAGTTGCATTTAACCGCCTCCCACCTGCCATATAAGGAAATGACGGGTGCAAGGCCGTTCTCTCTTTCTGGGAGGACATCATATGATGCCCTCCCACTCTAACAGCGTGTGCGCAGCTCAGGGAGCGCGCAGCGTGGCAATCGGTGGTGCGCTGTGTCCCTCGGACACAGCGGATCACCGATCAACGGAAAGAGCCGAAGATGTCGGCTTGGTCATGTGATCAGCTGTGTCCAATCACAGCTGATCGCATGTAAATAGGGAAATGCCAGTTATCTGCATTTCTCTCCTCACGAGCTGTCACGCTGACAGCTCGAGAGGAGAGGAGAGCCGGTAATCAGCATTCCTCAGAGGGGACATGTACACTAATCATCAGGGCACTGATGATCAGTGTGCCCTGATGATCAGTGTAGCCCCAGCAGTGCCACTTGTCAGTGCCCATCAATGCCAGCTGTCAGTGCTCATCAATACCACATCAATGCCACATATCAGTGCCTACCAGTGTACATCAATGCCACATATCGGTGCCCATCTGAGCTGCCTTTCAGTGTCACCTATCAGTGCCAGTCAGTGCCACCAATCAGTGTTGCCAATCAGTACCACCTATCAGTGCCAGTCAGTGCCGCCTATCAGTGCGCATCAGTGCCGCCTATCAGTGCCCATCAGTGCTGCCTAACAGTGCCAGTCAGTGCCACCTATCAGTGCCGCCTATCAGTACCATATGTGAGTGCTGCCTTTCAGTGCCCATCAGTGATGCCTGTCAATGCCTATTAGTGCCTCCTCATCAGTGCCACCTATCAGTGCCCATCAGTGCAGCCTATCAGTGTCCATCACTGCTAGTGAAGGGGAAAAATCACTTATTTACAAAATTTTGTAACAAAAATTAAGAAAAAACATTTTTTTTCACAATTTTCAGTTGTTTTTGGTTTGTTTAGCAAAAAATAAAAAACCCAGAGGTGATTAAATACCACTGTGTGAAAGCTCTATTTATCTAAAAAAATGATAAAAATTTCATATGGGTACAGTGTTGCATGACCGCGCAATTGTAATTCAAAATGTGACAGTGCTGAAAGCTGAAAACTGGCCTGGGCAGGAAGGGAGTTTAAGTGTGAGATGGGGAAACAGCTCTCATTGGTTGAACACTGTGTGGAAGTAAATTCATGTTTTGACTGACATTCTGCGGTTTAGCCACAAGATGTCACTGTTTTTCTAACACAGGCTCAGACTGCATAGATATTTGTATATTCATGAAGAGGTGGGGTTTTGCACTCAGAGTTGGAATTTAGTGAACAGGAAGAGGAGACTGCAGCCATGTTTTGGACGATGCTGAATGAAGGGGCTGTGTGAGCTGATGAGATTGCTGCCAGGAAGTTGATGAGATTGCTGCCAGGAAGTTGATGAGATTTCTGCCAGGAAGTTGATGAGATTTCTGCCAGGAATGCTGATGAGATTGCTGCCAGGAATGCTGATGAGATTGCTGCCAGGAAGCTGATGAGATAGCTGCCAGGAATGCTGATGAGATTGCTGCCAGGAAGGCTGATGAGAGCAGAGGGACTAAGCAACATATATGGCAAGACCGCATGCTTGTTGTAGAGACATTTGTTCTGTTCAGAGTCACCAGCGGATGCAAAGCAGACCCGGGGTCGGTAAGATCGTGCACACACCTCATTTCAGTGTTGGCGCCTTGAGACTGAGTCCAGGCCTATAGTTAGTTAATTAGGGTCTCTGTTTGTGTCAGGCCATCAGTGTTGTTACTGATTATTGGAAGAACTCCACAACTTAAAGTGACATTTCACATTGGAGAGCTGATAAAATCCTACAAACTCAAGCCAGACTGGCATTTTGCTCAGAAGGAATACTCAGGCACGTGCTACAGGACCAGTTATGGGAGAGGGAATACTGTAGATTTGTGTAAGATTGTAAGCTGTTTGTGCTGCACCGCAGGCTAGCCCATACCGTACACCCATACACTGATTCCTGCTCTTTTAGGGTAATAACAGGTAAGGTGTGGCAGCTTAGTTGTGCCCGCCAGTAGGTAAATTACTACACTTTCTACCTTCATCCATCAGAAGGTGCCGTGCTGTGCAGCACAAGGGTCTCAGCCTATGGGCTGGGTGTATGTAAATTTATTTTATGTTTCCAGCATTTGTGGTTGTGCTTATTTGCAAGTAAAATTCTGTTGTGGCAAAAGCTGGTGTTGGGGTTGCTTTCCTCGTTTGTGACTTCACTGTATCCTGGGGAGCCCACCCCAGTACACGGCTTATATAAGTGCCCTGTAGGCAAGTGGTTAAACATACTGGCATTTGTTGTTTATAAACTGCCTGCAGTTTAATTTTAAGGCCTCATGCACATAGGATGTCTATTGACTGATGTGAATGTACAATATATATGTACAGCACTGCGTAAATTGCGCTATACAAGTACCTGAAATAAATATATAAATAAATGTAACCAGCAGTGTTTTGGCAGAAAAAAACGCCTGATGCTTTTAAAAGTGTCTAATGCTTTCACGAGCATTTAGGCGTGTTTACAGGAGTCAAGTGCTTGGGCGGTAATTCATTTCATTGGCCAGAAAAAATAACATGGCAAAATGCTGCTGCTCCTGGACGCACTTACCCTGTTTTTTTTTTGTTTTCCTGCCTGGAAACGCCCCAGCCACTAAAAGTTTCTAAAAGTTTATGTGTGCGTGGCCACATAGGATAACATGGAGAGGCATTGACAAGCAAGCAGTAAAAAAACAAACGCCTGACACCCCTATAAGTGGCTGCCAAAACGCCCTGTGTGCATGAGAAAGTTGGAAATCACTTTAGTTCTGTTGGAAAAACTATTACTCATATACTGCATAAATGAATCTGAAGCATAACTTTCTTTTCAAAGTTATTGTAACCCTTTAAATCTGCAGTCTATCTTATATACAACTAGAGAGATATCTTTTGTACTATAAACATGAAAGGGTATTTTTGAACCCACAATTACTCTCAAAAGAATGATACAGGGGTTAATAAATACAGGTGACAAGTCAAAACTAGAAAAATATAATATAATTCTGAAAAAAAAATCAATTACAAAAAAATCAATAAATATACAGAGAAAGAAACTGTGTACTTGCAGCCTTGTAAGTAAAAAGTGTATGTTTTGTGAAGGTGGACATAAGGTCATTTCCTTGACGGATCTGAATGTATAGCGAGTGCTGTACAGTAAAACATGTAATTTTGATTTTATGTTTTTGTCTTTCTTTGTGGAAATGCTGACTTAGGGCAGCTTCACACTGTTCCACTGTGCTTTGGCTGCAGCACAGTGTACCTGCAGTTTGGTGCAGGTTAGCTTCGTTTTGCCAAAGACTTCTATTATGTCCCATGATTTTGGTGCATTTTCTTAAAGAGCAGCAAAAGTCCTGCATGGAGGATTGAAAGAGAATCATGGAACATGTACTCCTTTAAAGGAGCACTGCGCAACTGAGGCTATGGAGCTGTGGACTTCAATACCCAGATTACCTGCACAAAAAGGAGGATAGGACAGGATGTTTCCCAGGCAATTCACCAAAGGTCTGGCAGCCTATTGCAGAGAGCTGGGGTCTGTGCACTACACCAGAAGAGACAGAGAGAGTCCACAACCAAGAGTCTGGGGAATGAGTCACGGAAAGGAACCAGGGCTTCAGGGACCCATTGCCATGCATGCCTAAACCAGAGCTGAGAGACTGAGCCTTGTTCAGACCCGATCAGGAGGACCTGATTGTGGGACTGAGCCTTCTTGGACAACAGACTGTCAAGCGCACTGGACAGGATCTATTGCCTACCAGAACAACCAGGCTTAACTTTTCACTATCTGCAGTTAATTCCAGTAGGGAGTACTCTTTACTTAGCAACCCATCAGCCATCCATGTCTACATTCTTAAAGGAATAGCTTCATCTGCACCACTTTACAGCAGACCCCCAATATTAGCCGGCGTTGTACTGACAATGATGCTCCAGGTACTTTGTAGCCACATCCAGGGATACCCCTTGTCAGGAATGCATACACCCACCCACTAAAGCAGGGGTCTCAAACTTTCTAAACAAAGGGCCAGTTTACTGTCCATCAGACTTTAGGAGGGCTGGAGTGGTCAGTGGGAGTAGAAAATGTCCCAGCATCATTAGGAGTAAAAGAATGACATAGAGCTTGAAGTCAGTGGAAGGAGGAATAGTATTAGTTGGAGAAACAGTGCCCCATCATTGGTATTAGTGGGAGGAATATTGCCTCATCATTGGTATTAGTGGGAGGGATAGTGCCCCATCATTGGTATTAGTGGGAGGAATAGTGCCCCATCATTGGTATTAGTGGGAGGGATAGTGCTCCATCATTGGTGTCAGTGGGATGAACAGTGCTTCATCATTGGTGACAGCGGGAGGAACAGAAACAGTGCTTCATCATTGGTGTCAGGGGGAGGAATAGTGCCCCATCATTGGTGTCAGTGGAAGGAATAGGGCCCCATCATTAGTGTCAGTGGGATGAATAGTGCCCCATCATTGGTATCAGAGGAAGGAATAGTGCCTCATCCTTGGTATTAGTTGGAGGTATAGTGCCTAATTGTTTATATCAATAGAAGGAATTGTGCCCCATCATTGGTGTCAGTGGAAGGAAAAATGCCCCATAGTTGGTGCCAGTTTAGGAAATGATGCCTCCTTATTGGTATCAGTGGGAGGAATAGTACTCCGAGGGCCGGATAGAGGCAAGCAAACGGCTGCAGTTTGGAGACCACTGAACTAAAGGGCTATATGTGCAGGATGCACTTGAGGACTGCTTTATGGGTTTGTTAATGTTGTTAAATTTCTCACTGTTTATAACATTTAAGATTTGGTTAGCCTATTTGCAGTATAGTTGATTTCCGTACAATAGGTCAGTGTTCTCCTTATTTATATAGCATCTTTGAATATATTCAGTTGCTTGATTACTGATTTATGCATTTTTTACTTCCATATCACAATACATCTACAAATTATTTAATCTACCATCCAGTTGCTTGTGACCTATTTTCTGTGTACTGTTATACCGTGGTAGCATAGTAACACTTGAGTAACATAGGTGTAAACAACCTTCAACCTATAACTAGGTGTTGTCAGTGGTTACAGTATAAAGAGAACCATCATATCAAGCAGCTCCTGTAGCAATAAGCACTACATGAATAAATAAAAGCTGGCCTTTGTAAGCACCTCTATCAGTGGTAAATGATTTGTCTCAACTCTCTAATTGCCACTTTGCCACTTTTGCTGAACAGCTTGGTCTGGTACAGAAGGTTGAAAAATAACAGACTTACAGGCTAGAGCACCAGGTGAAAATAAAATAAAATAAAAAAGCCTAAAAATATAAAACTAATGCAGAGAGCACTTTGAAGGAACAATAAGCTGAAATATAACACATTTTTGTTTTTAGGATTAATACCACTTTAAGAAGTACTTATACTGCACATTACAATATACACACATAAGACATATGTAGCCTGGAGGGGCAGCTGGAAATAACCCAAGTCTCCCTTAGCTGTTCAGAGGCTACCAGCCAAGGTACTAGCTCCAGAGCACACCAACAACATTCAGGCTCAGTCTAGGGGTGTATTTTTTAAGATGTATTTCAGTACTTGAACACAGGTAGGTGGAGGGGTGTGGATTCAGGTATCACAGGACAAATTCTAAAGCAAAGTTCTTCAACAGCGGCCTCAAGTAATGCTGAAAGCAGATGGAACAGCAAGCTAGTGTAAGACTCTATATGAGCTGTCATAGACCTTGTAGCACCTCTGGCGTCTGACCCTCAAAGTACTTGCACACCTGGAGCTCTAGGTGAAAGGTCCTACTCACATTGCCTAGAGGCAGCTCCCCCCAAACTCTTCAGACAAAGGGTTCCCTCTCTATTCTAGCTTCCACAGGTGTGATGTCTTTCAGGAAGTTGCTTTACATCCAGTTTCCTCAAAGGCCCGCAGCCAACACATGCTAAGGTCTAACAGCAACAGCTGTTCTGTAACACACATGCTACTTCCCAGAGGCAGAGGCCACAGAAGAGAGAGAGCTCTGATCTGAACCTACCAAACATTTATCTTCTCCCCAGTCACATTTTCTGGGCCTCCCTCCCAGGGATTGGATGAGGTTAGATAAATTTTAATAACCAAGCGGCTTCTTCCAGGGGCAAGCAGGAGTGATTAACCACCAGTCTTAGGGATAGATGTGACCAGGTCTGAAAAATAGATTTCTGCTCAGCTGAGTACAGCAGAGCCAAAAACTAAATTTAGCCATCCTAGGGCAGGGGCGCTACACGTAGTAAGGGTTTTTGTTGACTATACTCAGTTTTGTGTATCATGCAATGAGTGGAGGGATGTGTACAAACCCCTGACAGGAAATAAGCTGTTCTCATATTGCAAGGGGAAGTAAAATATTATTTGGTTGTACTGTATTTAGTAATTTCTAAAGTTTCCCTTTTTAAAAATACATCCAGTCTTTCCATTTGGTTAAAATTATTCTTTACAGCAGCCTTTCTCAACCTATTTACCCTAGCGGTACCCATAAAATAATTTTCAGGTCTCAGAGAGGCCCTGCCAAAACCAATTCATCTGGGGTCTGTGGGGAACAATAGTGTTGGCAGGTGCAGTTAGATGGTTGTGTTCCTATTAT